ATAAAAAACTTAACAGATAAAAATATGCTTGTATAAAAAACAAAATGGGGGATAACTGGGTAAATACGCATTTTCGGACATACCTTCACATAAACTTTTTTCTTCCTTTTAGTATGAGGATTCATCTCCCAAAGTCCTGAAACGTTTTTTTATGGACACCCTTGTATATAGAATAATCTCCAGTTGAGCCCAAAATCCCTAATTTTGGGGGGACACTAACAGTTTTCAAAATCATAAAATGAAACATTGTGCTGTTTGCATGACCACCAAAAGGGTATCGGTGTATATTTTACTATCCTTCGATCTTGAGTATGCTATATCGTGGTTTTTGCATGCAGCATCCAATTTTTTATGCCTGGATCACTTTTTGCTCTTCCTTAAATTCATTCCAGGTCCACAGTACTGATAACCAAGTATGTGAAGTTCTACTGGTAAAAATACCCTGCGTCTGTGTACAAGAAGACTATATGTGTCCAAACTGTGTTCTAACTTACACAATATTAAATGGGGTGTCTTGGATTTTTATTCACCCTGTATGGACACAGATAATCTTCTTGTACACAGACACAGGGTATTTTACCTGTATAACTTCACATACCCGGCTATCAGTACTGTGAACCTGGAATTAATTTAAGGAAGAGATTAGCAAGAAGTGATCCAGGCATAAAAAATTGGATGCTGCATCTGCATGCAAAAACCACGATACAGTAGAGTCCCACAAACTCGGCACACGATAACCTGGCAGTCTGGATAACTCGGCCATCACCTGGCTCAGAATATTAGTGATTTTTTTGAGTCCGAGTTAAATGTGGACTCAATCTAGATCAAGCCAAATCATTTGCAAATCATACCAAGGATTTGTTGTACTGTATCTGATGACTTAATACTGACTTTTAATATAAATAAAAAAGGCGGTTAAAAAAGCTAAAAAATTGTATTACTCTTATTTTTAACCCTAGTTCCCGATCACCCCGCATTTCACAAACCCAGCACCCTTTCAGTCCACATTACGCTGAGTTTGCGGGACTCTACAGTATATCATACTCAAGATATATACTCTCTTCTTGTACACAGACACAGATAGCCTTCTTGTACACAGGCACAGATAGTCTTGTGCATGGATACAGACGGGATAGTCTTGTACATGGATACAGACGAGATAGTCTTGTACATGGACACAGACGGCTTTTTGTTACAGTAATAAAAAAATTCTGAAAAAATCGGATCCATCAAAACCGGATTCAGCCCAAGATCCGGATTTTTTTTTATACGATCGGGCACCGGTTCTAGCTTGGATCCGGTAGTCCGATATCCAGATCCTACCATCACTAATTTAAAATACCAAAGTAATTGTAATTTAAATATCTAGTATAGGCTACTGTGAGATAAAACAAATTCTTTGTATTTTTAAATTGTTTTATGAGTTTGAATGTCTAGGCTCCAAGGACTCTTAAAACTTGACCATTGCTTTCCATATTTTCTGTTTCTAATGTAATTGTTTTAACAGGGAGCATCCAAAGAAGGTTCAACGCCAGATGGAACGAGCTACATCGATGCAGCCGACAAAGATGAAATCAAGGCTATGCTGAAATAGATGTCGATCTACCTCTTCAAGTATTTATTTTATACTAGGCTACTGTAATAATTTACTATTTTTGTTGTATTTTGTATTGTTGTATTTAAATGTTTACTTACAATATACATTCTAAAACTAAATAGGAGTGTTTAAAAGTGCTCTAAGTGCTTTTCTACTTTTGGTAAAAAATACATAGCTACTTTACTTTAAGTGATATTTTTGAACAGAGGGCCTACAACAATTTTTCGGTTGCGCTTTTATAACCGTAAAATAAACTCGTCTAATCTACAAAGCTTTTATATTTTCTTATTTGTATATAGCAGAGTGGTTTTTAGAAAAGTTTGTATATATTTTCCTAGATATGGTGATTCCTACACTTTCAAACGTAATTTAGTAAAAATCAAAAGAAACATGTTTTTTGGAAATTTAGTAGTTAATGCATAGTCACCTTCAAGCGTGATGATTCCTAATCTGTTACTATCAAATTTACCGAAATTGTGATATACTTAATGAAATTGAGACTATTTTATTTGAGTATGTCTTGTGTTATTTGGGTGGATTGTACTCCCAGAGAAATGTTGAGATACTAGGTGTTAGTAATTTATTATGATGTATTGTATGATTTAACTTTGCTTATGAAGTCAATTAATTATTCGTAGTTATGCTAGTTTATCGTTGTCTTATTACAATGTGTACACCAGGATGATAGTAAATCATGTTTTTTTATAATACATTTGTTCTTTACATAATTTCTTCAATCTTATTGATGGTGGTGGCTAAAGTTTTTTTTTAATGATTGCAATTTAATGTGTAGACAATTTAACAGTTTATTTAAAATTGGAAACTTTTTATTCTAATCAACGTTTTTATTTTGGAATTATGCTACCTATCTATTTATTGCTCTTATTATGCATTTTTGTAAGACTGAAGATTTTATTGTAGGATATTTGTTGTAATTTTGAGTTATCACTTCATCAATGATATTGAAATTAGTACAGTTTGACTGAGAGATGTTTTTTTATATCTTAAAACTACTCAAAACATAACTATGAATTATCAGTGCTGTTCAGGAAAAATTGGTGTGTAGTACATTACAATTATTCTATTTTGTAGTTTTATATTTTTCTTTTTACAAAACTGAAGTATTATTAACAGTCATAATCTCCAGTGGACATTGTTCTATAAAATCAATGTTAACTTTATGGCATCAAAGTATTCTAGTCCCGTATTAAAATATATAATTGTATTTAGGACTAATTCCTTTTAACTTGAAAAAAGATAGCCTATACTTTGATGTTTTTTTTTTAACTTTTGAAACTATTACAAAATTGTATTTTATTTCAACTAAAACAACTAAAGTAGCAGTTTTTGTCCAAGTACATTGAACTTTTTACTCAATTTTATTCTTGGAGCGTTCTTTGCCTATGACATAAATAAGTTTTTATTTTAGATTTTATGGGTGAATAACTTTTCTAACAAGAAATCAATGAAGACGATTTCTAAAAGGACGACAAAGACTCTTAAAAACCTTAGTCATATATATTTTGGTCAAGAAGCTACCAAAGAAAATGTACGCTTTCTTTTATGTTGATTGTTTCTGACAAATGTAAATTAATTGTACCTTTGTCAATATAATGTTCTTTTTCGTAGCTTAGAAATTTTAATTTTATATCACATCTTGTTAACTCTTAAAAATAGTTTAAATAAACCGTGATATTTTCTACTACCACTGATGAATTTTTCATACCCTATTACTTATGTTTTAATATATCTACCAGTCTGTCTCTGCTTTCATCGTCCAACACCTATTCAACCAATTTAGCTGGAATTTCACACCTAGACAGATTTTTATTGGAAAATTTGTGTTTTAATATTGCTAGGGGCTTTTCTGCGACCTTCAAAAGTTGGAGATGGGTGATTGGGAAGTAAATATTGAATCTTCTTCACAACAAGGCAATCATAATGATAATTTATTTGTCCTTAACATACAAACTTGTGAAAATCACATGTAAAGTAGTTAAAGATGATAAAACATTTACATCAAGCTAAATAAGCTAAGACTGGAGTTTAGGTTTGGGATAGCATTATGTTATTTAAGTGAAGGAATTTGATAAGTAATCTAACATACGAGGCATGTTTTTTAAATAAGTACCGTTTTTAACTAAGGTCCCAGCGCTGTGATGGCATTTTGGACATTTGCGCTGTGTATGTGCATGTATTGGCAAGCCTGCACCGGAAATTTGATAACAATCGGCCGTGTTTACATCTGGTTTTGAGCATTCAAAATAGTGCCGCCGACTGTTAAGTGTGTGCTGTAATTAGATTTTTAAGTGCTAAAGGTGTAAAAGCCGTTGAAATTCATCGATAGATTAGGGAAGTGTATGGCGAAAACATGATGAGTGTTAAAACCGGATGTTAACACGGCCGATTGTTGCCGAATTTCTGGTGCAGGCATGCCAATATATACACATACACGGCGCAAATGTCCAAAATGCCAATTGCAGCGCTGGGACGGAGCAATTAAAAAACGGTACTTACTTAAAAAACATGCCTCATATTAACTAGGTACTACACTCACGCTATAGCTGGGTGGTTGTGGAGCTCACCTAGTAATGAGAAGGTCTCCGGTTCGATCCTGAGAAATGACAGTTGCTATTTGATGACTCGTGACTGAGCCCAGCTGACCTTCGTTGTTGGGCTTTTATTAAATGATCCTGACTAATGAAACAGCTGGTCAAGGTTGCTGTTTGTTACCAAGGTAACAAAGCTACACAGATCATCACACATCACACCATTCTAAACTCACCTTGTATTTATATTCAGTTTAAAATACGGTGGTTAGACCTATTATATGTTAACAGGACTTATCTACCTTTGAAAAGAATTTCAGCCTACAAATAAGGTTCAGGTAGTTTTTTTGTTTACACGGAACAAACACAAAGAAGGACTGCCATACAGAAATCACTTTTTGCTCATATGTGAGTATACTTTAGACATTTTTGCTGGTACGATAAATAAAATAGCTTATTCACTATATGGGAAATTCGCTATAGTTCGGCCGCTTAAAAAGCGACCTCCTCCAGCATTGGTTTAGCATTAGCGCGCAGGTCGTTTTATAACCGGCCGAACTATAAAAGGCAAACTCTAAAGATACGGTTGATCCTAATATAAATCTTCAAGTTAGCAAAAACCATTGGGGAAAAGACCATAAAAAATCAGCATACAAAAATTAGCTACAACTGTTGTCTCAATAATGTTCTTCTTGAACTTAAAATCATATAATTTAAAATTCCTCCATGAAATAGAGCGTATGTGGCTGTCTGACAAACTTTGTTTGTATCAAATTAAGTATTATCAGACTTTTGAGACCTGAACAGTATTGCTCAGCATCTTGGTTCAAGAGTAGGAAGGTAGGAAATCTAACTTGAAAAACAATAATACTGTATTTAAACTATTAATTATTTATATAAAATTAAATTACAATATACACTATATGTAATAATAAATATCCCCAAACACATGCTTTGATCTTCAATTGTTGAAAAATATTCTTTCCATTCATCAATTGAGGATTTTTAGTTAAAACCTCATTTCCACGTTGTTCTTCGTGCTGTGTTTGAAGAACAGATTTTTGCTGATTAATGTGCTTGGTGACGGATGACGTAGTAGTTCCTTTTCCCTATAGCTGATGATGTTTGTCACAAGGGTTTTATCAGATGAAGGACTTGGCTTAGCAGATTGTACCCGAGAGCTGTCAGTTTTCCTGAACGGACGACCTGCCACATGAGTGCAAAAATCACCATCTGGCTGAGCCTGTGCGCCCAGTACATCCTGCAAAAAAAGGAAATTAAAAACCTGGGAGAACCTTTGTGTTTTTCTGGAAAGGAGAACTTCAAACCATCACAGGTTTTGGAATTATCATAAATCTAAAAACCAGTGGTGATTGGCAAGAGCTTAGCCCTGTGGCTTCAGCCCAAAATTAATAAGGCAGCCAAGCCCCCAAAAAAGTCAGTGAGTCAAGAAGACTTCGATACACACAGTCACATAACTCAGTTTGCAAGCCCATTTTTATTTCAACACGTTCACTACCACAATAGTACACTAAATTTTTCCAATGGTACTAAATGAGCCAGCGACGCACATATACAATGGCCCCTTTTCTACCCACAGACTGCCGTCGCATATATGCGACCTGAATTCTCTGCAGTGGTCTATAAATAGGGATGTCTGTCGCATATGCGCGTCACTTGGTTACTTATTTTTGACAGACTTATTTTTGATCGCCAATTGGAGCGAGAAAGACGGGACAACAATTTGATTTTTAAGCTTGCCAGACGGGGATTTTACGGGGAAATTTACTACACCACAACAAAAAGCAAGTCACACACCACATGCTAACGACCGATGCTAGAGGAAAAACGAAGATATACGAAAGGCATTGCCGACCGTTCCCGATAACATATGTTGACATGTTATTTCCGAGATAAAATTTTAACAATAGTTTGTAGATTCGTAAGCTGTGGAGGTAAGCTGTCTACTAAACTTAAAGAAGCCGGATAGTAGGATAGTAGCAATTTAGTGAGCGAATTTATGTAGTTCAATAGATCATTAAGTATAAGTTCAGTAGGCAGTTGATTCCTAAGATTGTCAGTGTACAAGTTGACATGAATGTAGAAATAATCATTCTATTTAAGGTGAACTTTTATTGACTCCACTAAAACTTGGTAGGTCTATACTTAATTTTTCAATGTTAATTGCATCTTAAACAAGGAAGGAACAAAGTCTGAATATATCATTCAGTTTTTATAGAGAGGTATAGCAAAAACAAACTCGGTGCACATAAGTGGCCAGCCTGTAGTGTAAGATTTTATTTCAGTTGAAGGTTACACAACTTTATCCTCTAATCTTTCAAACAAGATTCTGCTAATTATCTTTCGCATGTGACATCCAGACCAAAATTGAGTGGTGCAATGTTATTTCTTACAGTGTGTCATCATCAATGTCGAAAAACTAAAAATCTTGTCTCTCCCTTACCTCCTTAAGTGAACCTTAGCAGTATCAATGGTGGATGGGTCCTCTTTCAATATGTATTTCCGTGTTCCAAGCACATACGACTCAATGTAGGTTTTCCAATTCAGGTCCGAGATGTTGAAGTTGAACTTTTCCCGGTCAGCCGGATGCATTTCCTTCATCAGCTGTGCCATGTTGTCGTTCATGAACTTCCACTCGTTAGTCGTAAAATACTCCAAACAAGTCACCGCTCTCTGCAGCTTCTTGTGGATTTTGAGCATTCTGGAACACGTTGATTTTATAAGTGACATGGCTTACAGGTAATGGAGATATTTTTTGTTGTGTTCAAGATTCAAGCTTAAATTTTATGCCCAATATCACCAGTTGGACATTATGGTGATGTAATTAGTTCATACTATAATATTTTTCAGTCTTGTTTGTTTTTTTTAGTTTAAGTTATAGTTATACTAGAGTAGTTTTGACACCATTGAATGTACGGTACCTGATGTAAAATTATGAAATAAAGATTTTCTTAATTTTATTTTAGTGCTCTTAAAATCAAAGTCCAAACCAAAATTTAAACTTGCAGATTTAATATATGACAGAAAGGAGTCTATTCCCTACTTACCAGGAACATTATTTGTGAAAACAACCTGAAAAGTTTAGGTTGATAGGAGCAAAATCTAAATGTAATTCAACTGTTTTAAAAAGATGGTTGTAAAAATATGGTTTCCATATACTTTTACTTGTTACTAAAAAACTTTATCAGAATACAAAAGTAAAATGTTGTAAATTGTTTGTACGGCTATATATGGTGAAAAAGATACAAATAAAATATGTACTGAACTACACTATGATTTTACTATGTGTCCATTAAATATTCCCAAAGATTTGTTGAGTTGACAGTACCAAACAATATCAAACAATCAATGATTTCATAAGCTATTTGATAAGCCAAGTTTGCTTAATCTTTTAAATGTTAACAAATACACAAGATTTTATGAATTTAACAAGTCTTTAAAGTACATAATCAACCATTTGGGACAAACACATCTATCTTGTATGCACCTAAAATCAGATAGTTGTGAGGTTAAAAACTCCAAAACCCAATCACCTATATCAGAGCTGGTTGGAACTTAAACTCCAACTTGGCAACACATCAAAGCTAAAAAATCAAAACTCCTTTTGAAACTCACATTGGTTTCTGTCCAGTGAGTAAGGAGAAGGCATCGAGTACGCACGCTGGTGCAAGATGGAACACGTAGACACAGAGTGAGTTGAGCAGCCGACTGCTCTTGAAACTTCCCCCGGGATACCACAGGACTCCGCTGAAAGGGTGTTTGACAAGGTACTCGTGTCCCCACGACTCGATGTTGCGCCAGTAAATGGGGTTAGTCACTCCTGACGTACAGTTGTACACCACGAGGCGGTTGGGTCTGCAATAGAGTGGATAAAATATGGTTGATAAGTTGGGCAGAAATAGGTGACAAGGAAAAGTTTTTATTCAGCACTTCAGTTGTATCAAATTACCAGTAGCACATTTACTCGTAAAAATTATAAGGGACACACATTGCACTATAGTACAGACAGAGTGATTTTAAAGTTTACTAGTGGCCTTGTTGCTCGAATTTGAGCAATTAATTGCTAAGTCTTACAGGCGTTATTTTAAAACGAATAACAGTCATAATTTCTGATGACTTTAAAAGATTCGACTCAGAGATTATGGAAATACTGAAGATGCACATAACAGATCGATATAATCAAAATTTCTTGTAAATATCTTATCATGGTCTGGTTTTTAGTGTTTCCTACAAATAGCCTTACGCATAGCCGCATTAGGTTGTCCATAATAACGATTATAAATTCTAAAAAAAAAACAACATTATTTCTTTTTCTTCTCCTTGGTGGTGTTCTATGACTTTCCCATGTTTCCATAGTTTGCAAATTGGCTCTTTCAATGATTACTATAAGAAATGCAGCACAGTCTTAATTCAGTTTTTTTTTAGTACATCAATTTATCCAGGCTCTCTCGCTTTTCCCCAAATTGCGCCAACCCATATTCATATTTTGATATTTACGCCAACCCAAATTCAAATAGTAAATATTTCATTTCAACCAAGTCAGTAAATGTTTGTAGCAAACTGTAAAAAAATTAGCAAACTTATTGACTGTTTACAATTATCATATGTTCTTCTTCTCGCTTTTAATTTCTTACAACAGCTGGAGTTTCATAACAATGTTTCTTTCCCATGTTAATCTTATGGAGAAATAAAAAACTTTAATAAAGGGCCCCAGGGCCTCACTCCCTAATTATTTCCGTAAAAAGAAAGTTTCCTGCACAACTTCACGTTACGCTCTTTCCAATGACACCAAAAACATGCCAATCGGTTCAGTAGTTTCAGAGGAGTAATTGTCACAAAAAAAACTGCTTGCGTATTAAATAAGTATAGATACTGTTTGATTTACATGGCAAAGAATTGTTAACTTGAAGCACATTTTGCGCTAATAATTGTTGTTAATTGTTGTTGTGAAACAATGTGTAAATGAGTGTTGTGCATCAGAGTACGATTATACACAATTTTTAGAAATAATTATAATAATCCTTACATTTTTCATTTTTTCTTGAATTCACGCATTCAATTACATTGAAACTGTATATGGTTTGAATTGAATACCAAATAAAACCATTTTGTTTTTGGACCTTTGACTATAAACTCATTAATTCTACCATGTTCAAGTTGTAGATAGTTATGGAGTAATCATTAATGTACAATAGTTGAACTAAGCCAATGATAGAGTGTGCTTGTATCAATTACTAACTTCTTACATATACACCGCTTTCTAACCAAGTCAGTCTAATAGGACGACTTTCTGTAAACTACGGCAACGTATATGTCAAATTGTCACTTCAGTTTTTAAAATGTGGTAAAGGCAGTAAATATAAAAGACCGGAGCACAATATTTGATTTGTTCTGAGTAAAACATTGGCTACTTCTGGTCAATACTCAATATAGATGCAATGTTGACTTTAGAATCCAAGAGTCGATGGTAACTCACATAATTCACACAATAATTGGACATAATTGGATACCCTCATGCCACTTAAGCGAAACCATTGCTTTAAAACCCTTTCTTTGCATGCACCTAATGTTCATATGTAAATAGCTCCATGCCACTAACCTAGTGGTAGCCGTGTGCCAAGCCACTGTGATCATCAGGTTGATGGCCATGTCTACAGGGATGATGTCCGCCACTTTCTCTCTATGACACATGATGGTCCGCAGCACTCCCTTGCCTGCGCCGGCCAGTAGACCTGTCGGGCCATTCAGGTTGTCAACCCAGCCTGGCAACGGCTCCTTCCACGACGCCGTCACTAAACAGTAAACACAACATTTTTGTTCTCACTGTGTTTCTAATAAGATTTTTGATTGTTCGAAACTAGACCTAGCTGTCCCTGATCATTTGGCTTTAAATAAATGATCCTGACTAATGAAACAGCTGATAGTCAGGAACAAGCTACGCAGATCATCTCACTCCATTCTACACGCCTTCGCTCATATTTGGGTTAAAATACACATCTAGGTGGTGTAATCATCTCAATAATTGATAAATGATAATACTGTACTTATGTAATGTGCTATATGGCTCTCTCTGTCTTGAATATAATAGTACAGATGTCATTGTGAGGTACAAAAAGGTGCTATTATTATTTTTTTTAACATAGGTGCCTGCAGAAACTTTTTTCAGTGATGGCAAACCAGTATCCATATAGTTGTGTTTACATGAGGCCAGTATAGCAGGCAGGTAATGGGGCAAGTTGGCAAGTTACCTGCCTCTAATGTATTTCAAGTTACCTGAGGCAGGTAACCTACCCGCTAACTGGTCTTGTGTAAACACAGCTTATCCATAAAGAAGTTAAAACAAAGTATGAACAAACGTTTACTCCTCATACCTATTGATGGTCTGATGATGGCAATGGGAAGACGGGCGGACTGTTTCAACAACACATGTTCTGCAAGTGCTTTGGTAAACGTGTATGTGTTTGGTCGATTCTTAATGATCCTGAAAACGACACAACAGTAATGCATCGTTATAGGTATCTCATATGTTAAATGAAATAAATCTTTTTGTCATGCAATAAGTAAAATAGTTTTTACAATATTTGGACGTCTTTTGTAACTGTAATTGAAGTGAAATGATAAAGTATACACACTGCTGATGTGTAATAATACTAAAACTCCTACAAAGAATATTGATACCATAACCAAGAAATCATTTCAACAGAGAAAAAGTTAAGTGTACTGTGATGTATTATTATGTAAAGTATGTGATACTAGTATCTTTTCAATTTTATACAGCTAATAAGGTTCTTCTTTAGACTTGACCTATATGAGTAATACCAAAGATTACATGTAATCTTTGGTAATACTAATATTCACTAGTAGGTTAGTTAGTTTGTGTGATTTTGAATTTGCCATAAATCTAGTGAGCCCACAAGGACTCTTTTTACATGTGGACTGTGGACTGTTCTACGTCTTATCAATAACAAAGCTCGTCCTAACAAGGATTACTTGAAACATTTTTTACAGATGAATGTTTTGTTTGTGCAATTTGCTTTAACAAATATGAGTTTGCAAGTACGGTACTCAAATACAATTTTTTCTCCCAGGTGTTAAAAATATAAAAAATATAAATTTTCAATTTTAACCAAAAAGAAACATATGATTCCTAACAATTACAATGTAACTCACTTGTCTGTCATGGAATCCAGAATATCCTCGTCCAAGGACTCTACCAGCTGCATAATCTTCTCTGGGTCTGCAGGTGGAGCGTAGACGACCTCGTGTACCTCGCTGCGGTCACAGTTGCAGTACGCTGTCGACACGTGCACAAAAGCCTGCATAAACACACTCGTATGAGGCGTGTGACATCTAGGTATTTAGCTCATGAGCATTGTGTAATAAACAAAAGATCAAAAGGTGTTGGTGGCCTCTATTATTGATAGTCATACTGGATTTGGTCCAGTTGTTTATGATTGTTCGGTTTTTAATAAATGATTACTCTTAAAGAATCAGATGGTGTTAGGCAATAATTAACTAAGTATAAAGTGTGTTGAGTAGCTAACATGACTAACTGTGAAAAGAAAACAGCCATGTCCAGTGCAGCCACGTAAAATATATAGGTAAGTACAATCAATTCTTTATTGGCAGTACTTTCTCACTCCTTTTTTGTTTTAAGATACAATCCACAGGCTTTAAAGGCCTGTGTGGACTGGGGGAGCGAGCTGATCTAATGGTAGAACGCAGGGCTTTAGTGACCGAGGTTGCGGGTTCAAATCCTGCCAATTACCAATGGATTTTATATATGTGATAAGATAAATGTCGCAACCCTCTGGACTAGCCTGAAGAAATGTGTATAACAGCAACAGCTCCGGGCTAGAACCTAGCGTCCTAGAATGTGATGGGACATAACAAAAATAAAAAAAGACAAGGAAATGCAACAGTAAAAGAAAGTGCTTTGTTTTGAAATTGAAATGTAAAATTAATCAAATCCATCTTAACTCATCTCTTCCTAACTACTCATCATAATGTGACAGCAGCATAGATTGTTATTTACTGATTCATAGACACCTTAAGTGTCGAATGTATAAGGTGAGTGAACTGTTATATGTTAAGAATGTAAAATATAGAATAGCCTAAGCTGTATGTAAAAAAATTCAAAACAAACAGTTTCAATGGGTTTAAAAATTTCAAGGGTACACAAAAACAGTTTTAAACTGTCAATCTTTTCCACAAATATTCATTCTTTCACATTTATGGATGGATCCAGCCAGTTGAAAGGGGGGAGGGCTATTTTTCAACTCATTTAGTGCTATGTGCACTTAAACAGCATTTTGGGGGTCATGTGGAGGCATAATATAAAGTAAAATTCAAACCTCACCATGTCTACCTTTGTTAGTTTTTTTTATTTTTTTACATCATTATCCCAGAGCATTCCCCACACCCCTCCTCTGGATCCACCCATGTATACACTGAATTAAATAATGGCCAATATAATTTCCTAAAGATTGTCAAAAAAATCACCAACTGAATCGCTATGTTCACAGTATTCACAACAATCTTACCTCCAGTTTCGGCATGTTCAAACACAGTTGTGTGAGTGTCTTGGTGCCTTGTAGGTTCATAGCGACCGAAAGTTTGAGTGCCTCGTCAAACTTGACAGTGGCAGCTGAGTGGAACACCACCGACACGTTGGCCTGCAGCGTCCGTTGATCTTCTTCGCTCAGTCCCAGCTCCGGCTGTGTGATATCCCCTGTCATCGCTACCAGCTTCTCCAACCTCTCTGCGTGGTTCTTCCTCAGCGAGTCAAATATCTGCGGATTGTGTTCGGGTTATAGTCAGAAGCTTTGGTCAGATAATACTAGGCTAGGCTTTGTGATTCATGTAAAATGGACGGTATTATTTAAGTGTAATCAGTAAGTTTGGATATAAATAAGATATTGTTTACGAGATTGTGCAATATTCTTTTTAATCATAGTAAATGTTTGTATTGTATGCTGATAACAGGCAAATAGATGAACATAAGTTTAGTTACTCGCTATACGCACAAGTTTGATAGGGTTACATATGAAGAAAAATGTGGTAGAGTGTTCCTCTCTCTCTAGCAAAGGTATTTCTCTGTGCAATCGGCATTTATTTTATTTTTTTTTGGGGAACTTTCCGATCCTTGGTTCTGTTGCCATCCAACATAGCATCATTGATTGCCCAATGAAATTTGGGGCAAGAAATGATCCAGATCAAAATCAACCCGGCAACCTTCAGATTTGAAGGTGACCTCTAAAACAACAGACAATTAAATCCTTTAATGATATTTTTCAAGTCTTAAACTATTTTAAATTAGGTGTTTACTAACAGACCCTGATGCTAATTGTTTACTTTTTTTGTTTTGCTTGATACAAGTTTATCTCTGTCCCAGATTGGAGGAATGGTGGATGACGGAGAACATTTTTTAAAAGAACGCTTTTTTAGATTGATCTACTTTGGTATCTAAAGTGAATCAAGAGTCAAAAGATTCATTTTATGGCACTTACCGCTGCACTAGTCAGTTTCTCGAGTCGTTTGCTCACATCCTGTCCCCGCTTCTCCCTCATGAGTAGGTAGATCTTTTCCAGGTTGGGACATGAGTAGAGAAGCTTTTGTACCAATACTTTGCCCATGAAGCCCGTCGCCCCCGTGACCAAGATGTGGCGGCCCCGGTAGAACTCGGCGATCTGGCCTTCGTTCCCACTCATCCTGTCAACAATGGAAAAATGTAAACAATAGAGTAACTAATATAAACTAAATGTGAATAAAAATTGGATGGATTATAGTGATTTCATTGTTCACTAGGTATGTTCACCAAACGTTCACATTGTACCGATAGTGAGTGGAAACCTCCAATATGTCAGTGGTCTGGCTTACCTATGTGACTTGGGGCTTACCTATGTGACTTATACCGTAATACTATGTTCATTACTGTCTTTAGATCACCGTCTATATATCTATGGTGACTAAGATAAGGTTTATAACTAAACAATAAGAATGAAAATGAGGGAGAACCAATGCTGAGTTCTAACTGTTAGGGTTGTCCAATCCTAAAGCTATTTATATCACCTACTTTCGAGCATGAAAATAGGTATGAAAAGTTGAAGTCCTTAAGAATAAGTCTTAAGAATCCGAAAGACAAAAGTCTCTGGAGGTCCAAATGAATTAGTGGGAGAAGCCAACTTGAGAGACTTTTAACACCTTGATTTCAGTTTAATTTTTTTTTAACTAAGGTTGTTTCAATTTCCCTCAGGTTTGTATCAAATTTAGTTATAAATTGTGTATAGTTTTGTTTTTACTCCAAATACTGTTTCTTCCAATCTTTTATAGAAACTTCTTCATAGTGTGTGCAGCTTTTGGCGATTTATTTCTTGCTTTGTTATTGTTATTTTCTAATTTTTCTTCAAGACAGGTATCTGTTATAATGTCCAGGTATCTACAATTTCTCTGCTAGAAGAGTTACATATAACAACACTACCCCTCGTCATTGCCTATCTCTGATACTCTTCTTAAAGACACCCGATATTAAAATATACTCTCACATTTGGTGTACACATTCAGTGAACTTATTTTTTGTTTTTGTTTTTCGATCACAGTTAGGTCTATTGATCAGATTTGAATGAGTGTACTGTATATTTATACTAAGATATGGTCAGTTTTAATTTCAAATCATAGGTTTACCAATTATCTTTGATGCATTGGCTTATGACTCAGTGGCCATTTTCATTCAGCTGTCAAAGCATACCAACTAAGCATTGATTGGGCGAAGCATACTGATGCTTTTCTAAGTCTGAATACCATTGGTAACATGATGTTGATGTAAGTATAACATGTAATTGGAATGGTTCTTAATTTGAAATAATGATAACCATAGAAGGACATAATAAAGATAGTTTTTTATATGTGGTGAAAAAATGAAATTCTGTAATTTGAAGCGGATTTGAAGCTCGTCTACTCTGAAATTACTTAATAGTTTATTATGTTTTCAATTTAGAAGGTCAATGACATATTTAAATTAATTTATTCATTAACAAAAAATTTATAGCACCACCACCAACAGGTTTTATGTGACCAAACAAACCTAAATCTAACACAGAATTTCAATTTAAACTGTCAACTTAAACCTGCCTATCCAACACTACATAAATTAGCACATCTTTATCATCCAACAAAGGTTTCCTGTGTATTATATTTCAATATGAAATGAAAACTCACCCCATTTTATGCCACTCATACAACTGAGACCAGAAGACTAAAAGAGATCCCGACGCAGTCCTGTTATATACCTTGTCAAGTGTATGTTTGTTTTGCATAGACATCAATGGCTTTTCCTATATTTACAAAACACTTTAGCCGTCATTGTAATGAAGAAACATTGCCTCCGTGCAACGAAAAGACTGAGGACGATGAGTCGGACAATATTGGCTTGAGTGACGTTATATCTTTGTCATTATTTTAAAAGTGAGATTGCACAAAAAAGGATCGGGAAGCCCAGAAACAATCGACAAGTCCCGGAATGTACAAAAGGGGGTTCTCAGGAGGACCAAACCTCCCTGCTCCATAATATGTATTTTTTAAATGTGAACCGTTACTTGTGGGTTAAGACACATAAATGAATGTCTTTTTGCCAATACAAAATAATGTTCAGTGTATTATATGCAAATGAGAATAGTTTACTTAAAATCTTAGTTTTATTACTCACCCTTCAACTCTGGGTTTGTTAACTCCCAAACTCTAATCCTGAATACCTCCTTGAATAAGGCTAAAATATTCATATAAACTTGGGTATCCATAATAACTGTGTAGCCTTCACTTTTGTTCATTTCAATCTGCCCGGATGGAAAAAAATAAGTCTAATGATTTTTTAAGTATCTGATTGATCTAAGAAAGATAGGTATTTTTCTAATATTTTGTTGGAACTTTCAAGGACCTTTTCGGCAAGTCATTTTGTTTACTGCTTATGAAATTAATGTATAACAATGTTTTTATTTTCTATCGGTCTTCTATTTTAACATATTTTCAGGTCAGCAAAGTTATAAAACAACTCTTCAATACAAAAAATAAGGAATAGAAAAAATACAGAGTAAAATATTTTATCATGCGTAAACATTGTTGGTAATGTTTTTTTTTTTGCTGTAAAGGTCCTTTTTTGGTCTCAAAGAAACTAATAACTTCAAAATTCTTCAATTACTGGAAAAACTACAAAGTTGATTAATCCTCTCAAATTGAGTTTATAGTTATTAAAAAAGCCCCTAGCCCCACACAGAGCATAATGAAATTGTTGTACAAAATTATTACATATTAAACAAATTATTGATGAATCCGTCCAATTAACCTGGTTCCTCCCGAATCGTGTATGCCTCTATTCACAAAATCAAATTAAAGCACTATTCATAGCTCCAGTTAAAAATTATTAGGGGGGGTACCTAATTAAGTGAAACCCGAATGCACTTTGGCATGCACTAGCATTATTAGTCGTCACTTGTTCAACCATCTTTCTGTATATTCACCATGCACAGAGATAAGGAAAATCAACAATAATCATACGATGTTATGTCACAAAGAGTTGTATTTTTTTCTGATACTTAAAATTTGCTTAAAAGTCAAAATTCAAGGACCAAAATATAAGCGACAGTAATTTACCAAAATAACAGCAAACCTGCAAACTGAATGACTTTCGAGTTAATTAAATTTCATTTAAACAGGTTCATTGATAAATACCACTCAGATGCTTCCTTACCCAAAATAAAATTAAGTATGTAGGTGGTTATGTACTTAATTATGTAGTCGTTATGAGTTTGAGTTTGCTTATTATATTTTGAAACCTTACGATCACATAGCCTACGTAATTCAATTTTCACCACCGAAAGTAGATATTTTCGATAATCAAAGAAAGTAGTTGTTTCCCAAGCTCTAAATTTACTTACCCTCGCTCCCGATTAGTTCTCCATTTACCCACTACGCACGGTAGTGTTTTATCACGGTTTATTTTAACCTCTAAACTTTAAATCAGATCAGCTGTTTTCATTGTTGCACAATCGATTACAGAAACAGAGGTATTAGATTGTTTTGCTGTGTTTTTAGCATAGTGCGTGTTTGAAACTGTTCAAAATATGTTTGAAATTACTGACGATTTTATGCAAAAGCTTAAGAGATAACTACAAACCTTACACCAGAGAAATCACGGGAAAGATATGAAGAGGAATACAGGATGTTTACGGAATGAAAGTACGAAAGGTTAAACCAAAATGACGAACTTTTTATTAATATATTTATCTGATAAATCTATAACTATGAAACTATATACGTTGTGAAGTATATTTCAGTTATAAAAGGTGGTCTAAAACTAAAGGATTCGGATGTTTCGAAACATAAAAAAAAATTATAAACGAAGGAGTAATTGTCCCCAACAAAGAAAACTGCATAATAAACATAACCTTGAAGTTATACTTTTTAAGTTATTATGTAGGTTTGTTATGTAAATTTTATTTTATTTTGATATTTGAAAAATTTGATTCTCTGTGTTCGGCTTTGCCTCACACATTAAACTTGAGCTCGTGCCGAAAAATGCCGCATTCGGTAATGAAATAAACTATTTCAACATTCCAAATTGTACGAAAACAGTAGTCTATGCAATCAGTTGATTCTCCATTATGATAATATGGGGGGTGATGAACAGTGTTTGGCAGATTTAACAACTAACATACCGTGTTTGGAATAAAAATGTCTTTGTACACCAGTGACATTAGAATTTGTATACATAAAGTAATTGTCTTTGGATTTTAATAGGTATATGTGACATATAAAATACATGGAGTATGTTTAATCTATGATTGAATATTCTAAATTAATCGCATTCACATCTTCAACTCCAGTTAATTGCGCTAATGCCGACGGATTATGCAGGCAGTGAAAGCATTGTTCCTTCTGATCAATATGGCCGTGGCTTCAGGACTTTCTACTACGTGAGATTTCGGCTCACACTGACCAATACTGATGTCATTATGTTGTCAATGTTATCAGCTGGCGTCTTTGGCAAAGCTGTTAGATTTCAAGACAAAGACTTCACGTTTCCCCATCAACAGCTGCCAATTGCCAATTGTGTCGTTTACGAAATTGTCCCGAGCTCGGTAGGTTACGAAATGGCGTTTGGCGTTAACCAATTACCAATTTTGTGTCATCGTTAATGCTTAGAGGTGTGTTCTGATTATGATGCAAATTTCTTCTTCGTTTGAGTTTGCATCATCATCGATGCGTTAGTTTATGGTTCAAATTGAAATCTAAGTAATTTGGAGATAAAATTATTTTGTAAAATGTATACAATCTATGTGCACAGTTGGTTCTTTCATTACTTTCAGCAGTTTTTTCGTGGATTATTACTTTTTTTCGCTCAAAAGTGACCTTTTACCAATGTTGCCGTGTTTACGTACACCAGGTTGGATGATAAGATTTTTTTTATATAAATAAGACATAGAGAATAGGGCCTAAAATGAGTTGGGAAATTGTTCAATGGACTTTTTGCTTCTTTAGATCAAATTACGAAACTCCAGAGATATGTGTAAATTTTACAAAGAAATTACAGTGAGAAAACAAAAATTTACTTATTTAAACATTGTTATGATGGAAATAAATTATTAATGAAGTATTGCAACAAAATTAATGAAGAATTAAAATCATTATGAGAGGATATTGTCCTTTAGATCGAATCC